AGACAAAATTTAACGCCTATTTACACTTACATTAATTTTATGAACATTAAAAGCAAAAATAGGAATAGGCAAATGAACGTATTACATTTCGTTTCGCGTCACATTAATACTTACTTAATAAACGGGGACTATTGTAACGCTTACTAGTGGTAACACTTGTGGAGGTTTTATGCTGCAAACTGTCATAATAAATAATAAAATTGATTTATTAAAAATATATGTTTTTATGTTTACTTTAGAATGAAATGGGATTCCATCCTGCTTTTTATTTCTCGAAGATTGGTTTTTACACCGTTTCACAACACTATGTGGTATTTTATCTTTAAATATTGCGAATTATTATAGCGTGATATTCTGCGCGCCGGAATAGTCGACTGACAAGGTAAGGCGTAATTACGTTATATGTGTGTGCGTGTAATTGTGTATGTATGTACAAGGCGAGTCGTAGTTTTATCAGCTTCTGTGCGTTGTTTGGTAGGGCTCTGTCTTGACTTTTTATTTTGTCTGAGTCTATATGGTCGGTCTATAAGGTCTATAAGGTATGTAAGGCATTTTTTTAGTCTGCATAAACCGTTGAAATGCTCTGGGGTTATTACACTCCAATGCGTTTTAACGGGTCACCACCTCAAGGTGATTTTTAAATGAATTCCGGGTGTTGTGAGGAGTTTAGTTAATGCCGACAGGCCCGCGGGGGGCCAAAAAGTACACAATTTTGACTCGAGTCATTTGGTAAAATATCAAAAACTCAGGACCGATTGACCCTTGAAACTATTTTTCACAATAAGTCACTTAAGATCTGATCTGATACCTAGTGTATTAGTGCTTAGAATATTTTAAAACTTAATCAAGGCTTATGATCTTAAATTTGTGCCAAGAAAAAAACCTGGGATTAATCTCTCAAACGGCAAGCGTCCAAATTTGATAGCTTTGATATTTCGTCAAAATTCAAGAGGTCAAATGTGATCGCACCTACCCACATCATTTTAACCCATCAATACTTATGTTTAGAGACTGCTTTTCTATGAATAAGTTTAGCATTATAGAATCAATATGAAATTTTCTATCCTCTAGTGGAAAAAAGTTAGTTAGTTTATGGACATTTATTTATAATCTACGTTCATTTCCTACGCCATTTTCGTGCGAATTTTATAGTGTTTGTTTTTGGATTTTTCTAGTGTTTTATTGGTGTTTCAGTATAAAAGTGTAATGTGTAAATATAATCTATCTTTCTACGTAAACAAATTCGAGTAATATGTATAGAAATAATTGTGATTTCCACGAAGGTATGTACTTTTTTAATTATCAAAATACAATAAAATCTTTTTGTAATGAAGTAAAACCTGACTTTTGTTTCCAAACCACAGTATAGAGAATTTTGTATAGATTTTATAGTGCCAAACTTCTTCACAGAAAAGTAGTCTCTAAATATTAGTTTTAATGGTTTACCACTCGGGATATGCCGGATGCATGCGACTGCATGGGATTTTTATGGGGGTTGAAGGGTTAAGTAAGAATAAACTGCGTTTCTCACATGTCCCTCAACACAAAGATGTGCCAATTTTGTTCCTGCTCTGATTGTGAACCAACCCCTAAGATACCGTGGACATGTTGACAGGTCCAAGTTTTGTGACCGCTAAGTACAGAGGACATGTATACATGTCCGCATTAAGTGCTGCTATTTTCGTCATTAATTGATATAAAAATACAGTATATTTTCAATTGAACACTATTTCATTCGATCCTGAACGAACTAAAGAATATTCTGTAGCATTATATTCACTCGGTTACATAGACATCATCAAATATAACAGCCATTCGCTTTTGCGTGCCGGTCCGGTTGGTTGCGTAATCGTTGAAGTTTTGTGATTGTGATTTTAGCTGGATTTTTTTTTTTAAAAAAACCGTAAGTAATGTTATTTATCTTTACTACGTAATGTTTTTGAATGATTTAAGTTACAACAACAGTAACTTTTTATGTTTCAATTGATAAAAAAGTAGAAATAAAAAACCTCTACGCGAACAATTCGTAACGGTCAATATTTCTAATAAGATTCTAATAAGATAATAATAGTATATTTCTTATTGGAATACCATAGTGAATAATTTTACTAGTAATTGCTAAATGTTATATCTATATGATTGTTTAAGAAAAATAAAGGAAGACGATAAAAATATATACACAAAAAGGTTTTGAAAATGAGTTTAGTAAGCGCGCGCAAACTGTCTATTGTCGAATTTTTAGCAAATGTTTGCAAGTGAAAAAGTAGAATTATTATAATTATCACATGCATAATTTCGGTTCATTTAGGAAGAATATGTTGTATTGATTGTAAGGACATAAAAATAAAATAAAATCTTGCGATATTTCATTCATAAAATAAAATTTATCGTCAGTAAGTACACTTTATCAAGATCCGTTAGAAACAAAGAGCTGTACAAAATAAAATAAACATTTATATGTTATGGTTATTGTTTTTACTTATCGAAAATCTTATCGGCTTTAAATAACTGTAACTAAAACCTCTTTAAACATAAATGAAAGGTCGTGAGAAACATAATTATTTAAAACAAGTGCCGCCAGCTGAGGTGACGACGGACGCCTCGGTACAAAGCTGTTTTTTGTTATGGCCGGCGCAGTGAGTGATAGGTAGTACATTTCTAGAGCAGGCGGAAAAAAGTACACTGACCTTTGACGATATCATCGGGGTAGGCAATCTTTTTGTTTAGGTTTTTTTTATCCTTTTATCATTACATATATTATCAGAGTGAAAGATAAGGGTGCCGAGTGCGAAGTTATTTACAGGCCCTATCGCTCATTTGGTGCAATAATGACGTAATTACACTCTTTTTTAAAAACAAGTTAAATATGTCAAAATGTGCGGAAAGACTATTTACATCGGGTGAAACATCGATAGAATTAAATTTGTGGTGATTTGTAGCGAGACGGCGCGAGTGTCTTTGTAGAATTAAGTAAAATGGCGCCATTTCTGTTGCTACAACGTCTGGAAGGCCAGTTACGCGGGGCGTCCCGCTGAGTGTGGTTGTGTTTGGGAGCTACAACGACTTAAAGGTATTTATGACATTTAATCCGATAAATTTTGTTGCAACAATGCCTTAATTGAGTAATTGTGGCGTTGTTGCTCCAAAAATTAGTGAGTTCTTGGAGAAACAATAACAAAATTGTGTAATTAGGTCAATGTTTCTCCAACCAAAATATCTTCTTGGAGAAACAACGACCGAATTTTGTAAATATGTCATTATAGCTCCAAATATTGTATTTATTTTAAAGATCAATGACAAAATTGAGTAATTACGTCGTTTTTTCTCCAGATAAATTATTAAGCTGCTGAAACGATGTCAGAATTGTGTAATTACGTCCTTATTACTGCAAATAAAGTATGTACTTTTTTGAAAATAGACGGAATTACGTATCTGTGTCATTGTTATTCCAGTACTATTAGGTGTATAATTATATAATTATAATTTTGACATTTTGACAGTGAGAAAAGTATGACTAGGAGATAGTTAAATGTATTAAATAATAAGCCTATAATAACCAATACTACTTAACTGATTAAAACTACTTTTACGGATTTTATCGCGTTTATTTTTACTTTGTATTTTAATTTTATTTTTAATTCCCGACGTTTCGGGCGCTTTCCAGCACCCATGGTCACGGGCGACTGAGATGACTGACGTCCCGATGTCATTGTTAAACCCGGAGTACCTTCAGCTTTTTTAATTATTGTTTATGGTCCGATCTATGCAAAATGAACTGACTATGTCCTGAGGTCTTGCAGTGGTATGCTTGGGTTTAGTTTTAATTTTATTGATTATAGGATCCCAAGCAGGTGGTAGTACCCAGCCTCCTTCTCTATTGAAATTAGGCTGTTTTTTTAATTTCAATAGCCTCACGTATCATCCTTGGTAGCAGCTATATGTTCTTTTACGCGGGTCCTAATTGATCTTTTTGTTTGTCCTATATAAGAGAGACCACATTCACAATCAAGCTTGTACACTCCTGCATCTTGTAGAGGAATATGACACTTGACGGATGGTAGGAACTGACTAATCTTCTTCGGCGGCTTGTAGAATGTTCTAATAGAAGCTCGCTTCAAGATATAGCCAATCTTGTCTGTGACACCTCTGACGTATGGTAGTACAGCAGGCACACGCTCGACTGTGGCCGGCTTCACTCGGTCACTGTGACGTAGGCGCGGGACCCGAAGCTTGTTGTCGTGCAGAACTTGCTTAACGTGCTGAAGCTCGGCGGCCAGGTGTTTGCTGTCACAGATCCCTCGTGCTCTCTGTAACAAATATTTGCCCAAGGTAGCTAACTGTGAAGGATGGTGGTGAGGTTCTTTTCCTATACACACCCGCGTAAAAGAACATATAGCTGATGTGAAGCATCAACGGTCCGGGAAGTCTGCAGTTTGTGATCATATCCTAGACGGCCCCAACCATTACATCAGATTTGATAGACCACAAATCCTCGCGAAAGAACACCGATTCCTACCAAGGATGATACGTGAGGCTATTGAAATTAAAAAACATCCTAATTTCAATAGAGAAGGAGGCTGGGTACTACCACCTGCTTGGGATCCTATAATCAATAAAATTAAAACTAAACCCAAGCATACCACTGCAAGACCTCAGGACATAGTCAGTTCATTTTGCATAGATCGGACCATAAACAATAATTAAAAAAGCTGAAGGTACTCCGGGTTTAACAATGACATCGGGACGTCAGTCATCTCAGTCTCCCGTGACCATGGGTGCTGGAAAGCGCCCGAAACGTCGGGAATTAAAAATAAAAGTAAATAAAATGTAAAAATAAACGCGATAAAATCCGTAAAAGTAGTTTTAATCATGTATAGTGTTCGCGTAAATATAAGAAATCATTACAATACTACTTAATTAACTAAATTAATTTAAACTTTCAGTTAAGAACATAATTAATGATGGATAACCGTGCAAGACGATTGGTGAACTATTGTACAATGGAAGGGAAAGTACCACCATTTGCAAAACCAAATGCTTCAGAAGTTAATAAGCGATTAAGATGGTAAGTTTGTAGTATGTTAGTTAATTCTTGTTTAATAAATCACAATTAAAAGTACCTACCTCATCCACCTATTAAAAGTAAGTAGTAATCGGTTGATGAGATAGACCGTACTTTCGGTTGTGATTTATTAAACAAATATTTATTTTTGTTGCAGCGAATGATAAAGATACATTTATATCAAAATATAAAGTAATTCGTTGTGAAAATAATATGCCACAATATGATGACTTAGACACAAATGCATCAAACTTTCAAGCTCCAATTGATTCATCAACTTGTGTTAGCCAAACTGTGGGTTCTGATATGACATTGGAAACAAAGTCAAAGTAATTGGCTTATGATAATGTACCGGAAATGAATACACATTATGATGCAGATTTTTCTCCAGACAACAGTGGAGAAGAATACCGTCCTGAAAAAGTTAAACGTACATATCCAGTAATAGGTAGTAGACGTAGATCATCATCATCATCGAATTCTTCTTCTTCAAGTTCTTGCACATCATCGAGCTCTTCATCATCTAAGAACACTTCTACACAAAGTGTTGCAATTTTGTCGCAGAATCAACCTTATTATAATATATATAATATATTATAATAAGGTTAATATAATATACCTTATTACAATTATAAATAACCTATATTTATTTTAAGCCAAGACAACAACATTTACCTTAACAATAGTATTCGAAATAATGAACCTCCTGACATTGATCAAAATCCAGAATCACCTAAGAAAACAAAAAAAGGGTAAGAAATCCAGCGGCTTGGAGGAAGAATCAACGTGCTCAGCTGAAGATTTCAGGTCAGGAGTACATTTCTCGGACGGGCAAGATCATTCCTGCCAAAGAGATTAAGCCCCCGTGCTCTAACAAGTGCAAACATAAATGTCCAGAACACATCTCATAGGAGCAAAGATATGATATTTTCAAAATGTATTGGGATTTATCCTCTCTCCAAAGACAGCGTGATTTTTTGAATTCGACAATAACTTTGCTACAACTCAACACACTGTGGCACAACGTCGTTTGAAAACTGGTGTAGAAAAGAACAGAAAACCTAATACTTATTATTCCTTGATGTCTAATTGTAAGAGTTTCAGGGTATGCAAATTATTTTTGTTGAATATATTGGGGATTTCCGAACGTACTTTACGTACCGTAATCGAGGCCAAGACAAATAATGAATCTAAAGGCGTAGCACCAATTGACAAACGCGGCTGCCATAAAAACCATAGAAAAACTAGTTGTGAGGTACAAGAGTCTGTTCGGATTCATATAAATTCAATTAGTAGAATTTAAAGCCACTATCTCCGTGCTAACACCACTAGAGAATGTATTGATGGTGGCCTAACAATAGCTGATCTGTATCGCGATTATAAGAGATTAAGAGAATCCGAAAACAAAGAGGCTGCAACTTACGATTCATACTTTCGCATATTTAATACGGAATTCAATATTTCTTTTTTTGTGCCAAAAAAAGACCAATGCGATGTCTGTGAACAATATAAAAATGCTGTTGGTAAGGAGAAAGAAAAACTAGAGGCTGACTACACAGAACATTGCCGGCAGAAAGTACTTAGTCGAATGGAAAAGAAGACTGATATAGAAATATGTAAGAATACAGATAGTAATGAAATAGTTGCAATTTATGATCTTCAAACAGTCATGCCAGTGCCAGTCGGCGAGTCCTCGTCTTTTTACTAGAAATCACAATTGAACTACTTTAACTTTACAGTATGTACCTATTATGGCTCAAAATATTATTTTATGCACTTTTTTATGTATAGTTTGATAACCGTCTTGTTTTATAGGTATCAGATGTAAAGGACCGACAAACCTATTGTTACTTTTGGCATGAGGCTATGGGAGGTAGAGGAGCAATTGAGATTGGTTCCTGTATCCTTAAATACCTGCAACGTGTTGCTAATAATCACCCTGGTTGTAACATCACATTTTATAGCGACAATTGTGGCGGGCAACAAAAAAACAGGTTCATTTCATTTGTTAAGAACATTTTTGTAGTTTTATGCAGTGTCTAATATTTTCTATATTTTTTTTAAATTTATTTTTCCATGTACATGTATGCAGTCAAAACTCTACCAATCAATAAAATCACACACAAATTTTTAATAAGGGGACATACCTAAAATGAGGAAGATACGGCCCACTCCATAATTGAAAAGGCAATAAAAAGAGCTAAAAAATCGAGCGCTATTTATGTACCAGATAAGTATGTACAAATAATAAGATCTGCAAAGATAAAACGTAACCAATTTATTGTTGAAGAACTGAATTTCGATGATTTTTATGATTTAAAAAAATTATCGGACAAAATCGAACTTAACACTGTCAAAGATGTAGAAGGAAACACCATAAAAACCTCAGATCTGAAAACAATTGAATTTACAAAAAACAATGATGCAGTATACAAGTATAAACTCAAATTCGACGATAACTAGAATGATGCTGAAATAAAAAAAAAGAAACAAAGATCTACTAGTCAACGAATAACTAAGGCTATAGAAGATATCAATGTGGTTCCAGCGTATACTTCAAAAAAAGAAATTTCCGCAAACAAGATAAACGATTTAAAGAACTGTTACAAAAAATCAATTCCTCGGTATTACTCAGCTTTTTATGAAAGTATTTTCTAGTTTTTTGTTTCTATTGTTTAAGTATTTTTACACTTACGCGCATACTATGATTCGATCTCCTGTAAAATTTCTTAAAGTGTAATTACGTCATTGTTGCACCAAATGAGCGCTATGTCTATTATTATATAACAAAGAAAGAAGATTATTCTGTGCCTAAATGAATTAAAATGCAAATTAAAATTAATTTAAGTTTATTATTTATAAATCATGAGTTATTACAATTTTCATTATTACGTTAGTAGCCGGTAAGTACTTTAATAAGTAGGTAGGTAGGTAAATGTATAAAACATAAGCACTTCTTAGCAGTCAGGTAAAAAGACGAACTTTTAATGGTAAGCATTCTTAAGCAGCCAACCTTGAAGCATGCATAGAACTTTTCATAATGGATTGTCAGAGAGACTTGACAGACTATTCATTTGTATCTATTTCAGAATCATTTTATAATGATGAAGACGTAGAAGAGTTCGTCACATTGATTATAACCCAAAATATTGGCAGTCTTCTTTTTCATTTACGTTTTGGAAGGATATACGTCACTAGAACACGTTTCTTTTACATATTTATGTTTACAATCATTATTTTTTCGGTTTCCGAAATATGCGACACTTTCCGCTTCTTTCGTGGTGACGTAAATTCTTTATGAAAATTTCATGTCGATGGACCCGATTTCATACTAGTGATAATATGCAAAACGTCACAATACTATAACAAAAACTTTAATACAAAACTTAATAATACAACTAACAAAACAAACTTAAAGAAAATTAAAACAACTACTATAACCGAAAAAATTTAAATCTCAAACTATCTACACGCAAGCGCATCCCAAAGCAGAATGAGGAATGAGTTCTGCTCCATCCGCTTTCTCAAATATACACGGCATGAGACCTATCGCAAATCGCATCGAAACAGGTTTATTATCTCTGAATGACCGCTTCCTTCACCCTACCCCGTACCATGAGACACGCTTAGCGCATAACGATACGTATCTATAAAGAAATGTATGGAAGCAATAACTGTCGTTTTGTTTCGATGCTAACATAATACTTGAGGTCAATGTACTTTTTTCCGCCTGCCTTAGAAACGTACTATAGTTCTTATTATAACTGTATAGCAGCTTATCAATAACAAAATATTGCATAAAAAAGTCGTCATCATATTCTTACATCGTTCGCCGCAGCTGCTAACACTTTGTTCTGTTAAAAGAATATTGTTATAAGCAATTTGAAAGCCTCGCGTTATTATGTGCGAATAACAACATAAAGATGTAACAAGTGCGAGACGAACACTTATTTCAATTTCTTCGTAATAAAAGTTTTTGTTTTTTAGAATAGGGGTAACAAACGAGTATACAGCCCACCTGATGGTAAGTGGATGGTAAGATGGTAAGTGGATTATATTAAACTAGGACAAAATTCAAAAAAGCGGTAAGTTGACAATAAATAATTAATCGTATAAAACAAATGTATTGAAGTTTTAATCCTCTATTCATATGCTTGTTAGTGCCCTGCTGTCGGACCATTGTTACCACTAATATAGCGCAAATGTTGGATCAAACTGCGTTATTAATAGTTTTGCACGTTTTGCATATTTTTTATTTTTTTTTATAAATTCTATAAGATCGTCTGCGTTGTATGATGTACGAAACATTTGAGACATACATATATGCATAATATTACAAACTTCTTGGAAATTCTCATTTGTATAAAAGGGTGACAAACAGGTGATGCTGTGGCCCATAGACATCTATATCTTTCTTCGGTTAAGAACCAAACTTTAGACGCGTATCAATGATTGCGATTAACTATCAACATTTAGAAGCATTGTCACCCTTTAGGACTAAGATGAAATGTCTTGTTTCTAGTAAAACGGTATCCAGTTCTCTACTGAACTACTGACAAACGACTGACTGTAGAGAACTGGATACAGATACAGACACAGCAATAAGCTGCTATTTTTCGCAGGTATTCTGTGCGGACATGGTCACCCCTGTAGCCGACCCATTCGTGCTACAACCATAATAAAGCTGCACCATGGCTCTATCACGTATAATCAACTGTTGAAAAATATCTTTTAATGTATGTGTTAACTTGACTGCAAATTTGAAAACTTCCCAGTACTCACCATGCTGGAAACACGGGCCAGAATCGACACCCACGCAATTTCTTAATCCGACCACCGACTTCTAGGAATAGTATTCGGGATTTTTGACATTTTGGTAGCACAGTGGCATTTGGCCAATGAATTATATCCTGATCTTGTTATTGTTGTGTCGTTAATAATAACTACTCACGCCTTTCACCCAGAGGCGTAGGCAAAGATTACAGAATTCCGTTCAATTCAATTATTTGCTATTCTAGTTGCGTACACTTTAATTATAAAAATAGTTCAAATTAATAACTCAGTTTCAGTTGGCAATTAGTAATATTATTTTTGCATTTGCATTGATACATATTGTAATTTATAAAATTATATTCATTATCATCATCTGGCACAATAACACAGAATAGATAATTGTAAAGATATTGACCCACCTCTTTTCGCATCTTCAGGTGCTTATGAATAATATATACACTTTTTTAAAGTAGGACGAAATAATTATATTAATTCAAAAGTAACAAAAATTTTGTCATAGTTCCCACCCACAATTATTTTAGACTTAAATGAGCCCATTAAATTGACTGTATTGTCACGTTGTGTGGCCAGTTTTTACTTTAAAATAATATTAGCTTTTAAAATTCGCGTTAATCGAGTTAAGCTTAAAATGCTATGTGATTCATCATAGAAGTAGAATTATGGTTTTAAGCTCTTAAATTGTTTGCCTGAGAACCGTTAGCTTATTCTCAGACTGCATCTCTTAAAAGAGACAAATAAGTCTCTGACTCGTAATATATATCAGAATAATTCATTAATATAATATTTAAGATTATAATAAATAAATTAACTAAAATAATAATTAAAATTATAATATTTACGATTAAAACTAATTATATAAACAATATAAAAGAAGAAACTATAATATAGAAAACCTAAAACTAAAAATTTAAATCGTCAAAAAGACCTGCTCCCCGTGGTATAGTGCCAAAAACGCTGGCTGCGTTTCCTCGCTGAATAGCTATACTTAGCCTTTGACCGAGGAAAGAACCAGCCCTCTTATCACCAGCAGCGACGACCAGTCGTGGATACAGTTCCTTTAGAAACTTCATTGCACGTGGACCCCACGGACCGATAGTCTCTACAGCAAATGGCACAAATATGTAGTCATTTCTCAAAGACTCATATTATAATATAACTCATATTCAAAGAGACAAATTAAAGGAGAAATAATGAAATCATTTTTATGAACAAAATGTTAATTGCTATTGGGATTAGAGCTAGGATTTTTCACATGCCATAGACAAATATGACAAATAATAATAATAATAGAGAAACGAGCCATCTACGCAGAACAGGATAATACTGCTCAAGTCCGTGCACCTGTGTACACTCCCTATTCTCTCACTCTCATAATCTGGAGAGAGTTTATTTAGTCTGGCCGCTACTAAGAATAGGAAAACCCAATAATTGATATTGGCCCCACCCGGGACCTCATAATCAGCAACCTCGATTGACGTTTCTTTTTCTCTGAAGAGGCATATATTCAGCAGTGAATTTCGATAGCCTGTTATGAATAAATGTGGACGTGATTACTCAGAATATTTATATTACTTACTTTATTTACAGCTTTTAGTGTCGAGTTCCTCTACTTTTGATATGAAAGTATTCAAGATCATATTTGTGAAGGTAAGTCAAGTGATTCCGCACATTATTTCCACGAGCGACCCTTTGGAGTATTTTACGTTGAAATATGTCCATAATTTGCAAATTGCGGAGAATATTTTCAAGTAAAAAGTGAAAAGGCGACAGGTGAAATATGACCCTCGACAATATCACGGACCGTACATTCCTTATATTCTAATATTTTTGTAAGTTATTGCCAGCATTATAAAATCTTTCTTCTATATTAATAACCACCATATGTGCTGCAGTGTAGTAGCGACGTAAGTGTAT